CGCTTTTGACATCGCGGTTTTAGCGCCGCGGTTTTGTCGGCGCGCTTATGACGTTCGCGCTTTTGTCGGGTCACGCATCTGAGTAGTGCAAATAGGTGTGGAGCCTTCTTGGAACTGCTGAAAGGACTGTGTTGTAGAGATGTGCTTTCTGCAGGATGTTTTCTGCCCTGTGTCCCTTCACCGTTGAACGCAGGTGGGGGCTCTTGGAGATGAATCTGTGGTCTCCTTTAGATCATCTGTTGACAGATGAAGCTTTCCTTTCTATAGTTGTATGTTATAAGATATATATTATATGACAATGCTACTTAAACAGTAAACATCTTGATATGAAATAATGTGTAGGACACTTCACAAATTAAATAGATTATAATGGGGCAAAAGACAACAATAGAAACTTAAAAGCCAATCTACTTGGCATTTTAGGCCACTCAGTTGGCATTATATCAAAGCTTTAGGTACGTAACATGTTGGTGATATGTTATCACTCCCTAATCATTCACATGTTTAAGTAATAATATGGCTTTATGCAGTGGTGGGATCCTGTTGGTTTAACAACCAGTTTGATGATTGCATGTGTGCACAGTTTTTAAAAAAACTTACTGTTTTCTTAAAATTGTTACTGCTGGTGAGTAACAGAGTTGAGCGTGGCAATCTGCTCTGCTGCGTGAATCACCTGAGAAAATATAAGTCAGTCAAGCGCAGGGGCAGGCGGGCCCACCTGATAGTTGGAACGAACTGGTTTGCTCCCAGCCGATCATCGGACCGGTAGGAACCGATAGAATCCCACCTCTGGCTTTATGTGAGAGGAAACGCTGCATTGGAATCCATGGGAACAAGGAGAAATTAGTTTGGTAACAGCAGTTGGTAGTGGGATAAATTGTGGCTGGGAACACATCAGAGGTGGGTTCCTACCAGTTCGCACCGATTCGGTAGAACCGGTTGGTCAAATCTACTGAACCGGTAAGAAGAGGTTCCACCGGTGGACCCAGAATTAAGTTCCGGAATGCCTGCCCTGGCCTTGTCGCTCGCTCGCCCCCACCCTTCCGGAAGCTGCTCCATTGCTCCCTCCCCCTGCCCATCCGCACTATCCTAGCCCCGCCCACC